CTTAGCTCTTCAGAAAAGACAGTCAGCACGGAAGGGGTGGTGGTGTGGCTCTCTATATTAGAGAGTCTTTCGATGTTGTAGAACTCGAGGCTAGGAATGACAAGGTCGAGTCCCGTTGGGTTAGGATCGGCAGGGACAACAAGGCTAGTGTCCTGGTCAGGGTCTGCTATAGACTGCCGAACCAGGATGAGGAGAAGGATGAGGAGTTCTACAGGCAGCTGACAGAAGTTGCAAAATCTTCAGCGCTTGTACTCGTGGGGGACTTCAACTTCCCTGACATATCCTGGAAGCACAACACAGCCCAGAGAAAGCTGTCTAGGAGGTTTCTGGAGAGAGTGGAAGATAGCTTCCTGACGCAGCTGATTAGTGAACCTACCAGGGGTGGTGCCCCGCTAGACCTTCTCTTCACAAACAGAGAAGAATTGGTGGAGGATGTGATTGTCGGGAGCTGTCTTGGGCAGAGTGACCACGAAATTTTGGAGTTCACTATTCTTGGCGAGGCCAGGAAGGGGACCAGTAAAACCACTGTATTGGACTTTCGGAGGGCTGACTTTGGGCTGCTCAGGACACTAGTTGGTGGAGTTCCTTGGGAAGCGGTTCTGAAGGGCAGAGGGGTCCAGGAAGGCTGGGCGCTCTTCAAGAGGGAAATCCTAATGGCGAAGGAGCAGTCTGTCCCCATGCGCCCAAAGATGAACCAGCGGGGAAGAAGACCAGCCTGGCTCAACAGAGAACTGTGGCAGATTAGGAGGGGGAGAAGTAAAGCAAGGAACCACTCACGGGTTGAGATAAGGATAATTTAATTAAAGGGAAATAATAATAATAATTAAAGAATAATCATTATGAACTAAACAATTTAACTAAAGGGAAATAAAAAGGGAAAGGGGAAAGGGGAGGGGGAAAGGGAAAAAAAAAAAAAAAGTGAGGTAAACAAGCCACTAAAACAAATGAAGGCTATGTGGAAGTGCATAGGAAAGAAATTACTCTCTACTTCCCACAAATGAGCGATGCTTGAGCACGTCCTTGAAGCAGGGCCTCAACGCACGTAGCCGGTGTTCGGGAGGAGGACCGACGTTTTCACAACGAGAGCCCACCCCTCCCCTCTTCTTCCTGTTTCCACCTTTTATTGCTGAGTGTGACATCACATGGTTTGGAATATCCCTGCGGTTGGTTTAGGTCAGCTACCCTGGTGATGTTTCTCTTCTCACTTTTTGCCCACCCCCTAGGAGGGTTAGAGAGAGGCCCAATGCTGTGCCAGTGCTGCTCAGCAGTAGACACAACACTGGTGTGATAACACTGCTGTTCCAGCTACAAGTGCAGAGTACAGCACTGTATGGGCTGCTGCCGGGAAAGTTAACATTCCAGCCAGACCCAGTACACCAGCCACCCCGTATTACTTGTCCAGCATGACACCATATGGTATGCAATACCCCTTTGGCCAGTTGGGGTCAGCTGTCTTGCTTCTGTCCCTTCCTAGCTCCCGCTGCTCTCCCAGCCTGCCTGCTTGCAGGATAGAGCAAGAAGGTGAAAATTGTAGCTGTCTCAGCAGCCATGGGGGATGGGGGCTGTCTCCTCTCCTGCCACGAGGTCTGTATGGATGCTGTATTGGGAGTTGTCTCTCGCCCTGTTGATCTACGATGCGCTTACTAAGTCAGGGTTTGATCACCTTAAAAAGCTGCCCGAGTTTAAGATGATCAAGCTGCAGCAGAAGAGGTATGGTCTTTGCTGTCGAAGGAATTCTTCATTCAGAAAGGCATTTAAAATGATAATAGTAATAAGATATTAACATATATTGTACATGGGCGAGACCAAAGTTTATTTTAACCCTGAAGAGAGCAGCCTTGGATTCTAATTTTGGACTCGATGATCTTGAGGTCTCTTCCAACCTAGAAATTCTGTGATTCTGTAATACATTTGGAATCAAAACTTCCATCTTCTGCTTAGAAAAAGTCACACTTGCTTTTAACCTGTGAAGGAACAGGGCCCTTAAAAACCACAAAACCTTTTCCTGGATCTGCTACAGATTTTTGTGTATTACCTCTCCCAAGCCTCTGCATTATGGCTTTTCATACCATGTAGGAAAATTATTTTTGATTAACAACTTGAACACACTAGTGTAAGAAACACAGGAGCAAAACTCCTGCTATTCACCTGCTACCAAAGGCAACCACACCATTTCTTCCCTCTTCTGAACTGTTCTCCTCCTGTGCTAAAGTAGTAAGGACTTCTACCATCACAGAACTTCTCACCACTGGACGAAGCAATTTCTACAGCTTACAACCAGAACTCATGTAGCTGGTACATCAAACTGTTGTGTCTGTGCAGGACCACAACCGGTGTTTGCATTGTGTGTAGCTTCCCCATTCTTCTGACCATCCCAGAAGCAGGATTCTGGGTCACTTCCTGCTTGAATTTGGTTGCCAGTGTCATGAATCCATTCTCATCCTTGGAAGAAATTCCTCACTGACACATCTCCAGGACTGATTTCTCTCTCCCTTTTATTTTATTTTCTTCCACCTGCATTAAACCATAAGTTAGCCACTATCATAGTAGCAGCCGATGGCTTCTTCACTTGAAAATATTTGTTTTCCATGGAAGTTAAAGTTTGCATTACGTTGTGTTTTACAGGCCCTTAAATTTCCTTCTATTTCTACCACTTGGGTGTTCAGGTGATACATATTTTTCTGTATTTCCTCATTTTTCTTCTTTCCTTAGAATGGCTGTGCTTGGCTTCACCATGTTAACAACCTTGCTTGGTGTGTTCACATGTTACAGCTTCCACCAGTGCTTAGTCCAAATATCGCTTGTATCCCTTTCACAGCTTGTCAGGAAAAGCAGCATGGTCACAAAGGCCTATGCACATTGCTGCTTACAATAAATAATACAATGAAAAGTGGTATGTTTTTGCTGAAAGAGACTACATTTGCCTTTGAGTTTTGGTGCAGCTGAACTGAAAACATTTTTTTTCCCAGTTGTTTTCAGTATATAAAGACTTAAACATTTCCTGGAGCACTGAAGCTCTGAGACAGCTGTGGTTAGCTGCCCAGCAGGGCACACTGCAAGTCTTTTAATCGAGCTAAGAAGGTGGTCACCCATTCGCCCTGCTACGATAGCTCTGGTTCACACCAGGGTTCATACCTCTCTGCCCATTAATGCCATGGAAGTTGATGGACCTGCTCTGAAGCCCTAGGAGGCATCTCTGCAGCCTTCCTTGGGGGACGAGGCCTCAGGCTTCAGGCCTCCTGTTTTGGAGAAATAACTGCAAGACTTCTTTTTTGGGTAGACATTTAACAGACAACAGCCCAGCAGATAAAAACATGGCCCTTCTGGATGAAGAGTCAGCATCTACATTGTGGAAATAACAAAGGGAGAGGTAACTTATTAAAGCAGCAAACAGCAGCAGAGGGCACTAAGGATTTAATTTTAGTCAGAACTCGTGCTCTTAGGACTCTTGCCAATATCCAGCTTTTCAGCAGTTACACAATAATATATAAATTGGTAGCTGCTGCTGCTCCTCCTCCTCTTGCTTCAGGTTGTCTTCAGTCTGCCAAGCTCCTGTGCTGCAGAGCTTCTTACAGCTCAAACTTGCACTGGTTTTTGCAGGCTCACCATCCTCTTATCAAGGAAATATCTCTGCATGTGTGTGCTAGTTTTTGCACCCGCTCAGTGCAAGGATGCTGGCTGCAGAAATGAAGACCTTTCGCTTAAGAAAGTATCAGACATGGACCCATACCATACCCATAGACTGACCCTTGAACAATGTTCCTTCAGCCACTGCCCTAGGAAAAAATATCCTCACTCCAAAGCTCCTTGCAGGCTGTCCCTTCCTTTGGCAGCCCCTTGCCAGCCCACTTGTATCTTGCTGGCATGCATGTTGCATGCCAAGGAACTTGTGTTTTCTCCTACATGCCACTTCCATCCACAGTCTCCATCTTGGGTGAGATGTCCCACAGAAATAAATGGCCTGCCAGAAGATCTGCCATCAGGAAGCTGTCTCTTCCTACCTAGCTTCAAGTTGTGTGACACTAAAATGGCACAGCTGGGATACAGGGATGATTCCAGTAAGCAGTACATCCTCTTGAGAACAAAACAAGTAGCCTGGCTCATTTCTACCCTGTGTAGTGCCAGCCTCTAGAGGAGGTAGAGGTGGAGGACTCTCCATCTGCTGGGAAGTCAAATTCAGCCAATGTGGTAAGGGGCAGGAAGACTCTTGGAATAATGAAGTCTACTCTATTTGGGTATTCATAGGCACATGAAACACAGATGCTCCCATGTGGCATTTGAGCCCTCTGCACTGACCTGCAGCTTGAGCCTTGTTTGGTCCAAATGCTCCACATGCTGACAGCAATCTGAGGACGTGCAGTGCACACCTGGACTCCTTTCGGCTAAAGACTGTAACCATCAACACCCCATCCTCTACTAACCTTTCCATCTTCTCCTCTACAGCTGTTTCTGCATCCCATTAACAGGACAAAGTGGATTAGTAGAGAAAAAGTGTTTAATACTTATGCAGCAGGGGGAGACTACTACAGGAGTACTACTCTGGTGTTTGTCTTGCATGGATTTGTCAAATGCAACTTAAAGCAGAGTTTCTGGAGCAGACACCGGGGAACTGGAAAATATTTGACAGGATTCTGGGTTTACCTGGAAGGCAAGAAAGCAGAGCTAAGGAATACTCGTTAAAATAAATACATAAATAAGTGATCTGTGTTTGAATCTCTGGCTTTGTCTTCTGTTTCTATAGGCTGATCACAGCATCCTGCCACACTCCTGAGCTTGGTGATGCTGCAGGTACAGGAATGCAGCTGCTTGCTGTGATAATGTCCCGGTGTCCCACCAGACCTGGCCCTGCAATGTGAGTAGATGTGTTCCAACTGCATGCTAGCACTGCACCACTTGGGGTTTAAATCAGGGTTAAAAAAAGTCTTCAGAGCTGAAGAAAGCTCCATTCTCTGTCTAAATAAACAAGCATGGGTAACAGGTTGGTTAGTTTTTTTTTTCTTTTTTTTTTTTTTTTTTAATAAGGAATGTTGTCAGTCCTATTTTATTATGCGTAATAGAAGGAGGTGAAAAAAATCAATATAAGCACTGCACCTAATCTACTTAAACTACAATCACAATGTTATGTGAATGCCTTACAACATTGTTTAAATCCAACAAGAAGACAAGAAAACAACAAATCTATGCAGGGTTTTTTATACATACGGTGAGAAAGTTTGTAAAGTGTTAAAATATATTTTCTGTTCTGTATGCTTCTGGTACAAGGAAGTGATGTGCGGAATACTGTATACTTATGAGCAGAGCCTTGACTTATACAAGCAAAATTCGACTTCAAAACATATACCGTATATCTTAAAATATTACTCCAAATCTCCTACAGTTGCTCATATAAAGTCAAATCCAGCACCTACTAAAGTTCAGCCAGCTGACTCTCTGACTCCAGTGGGCAATTGACTAAGCCCATGATAACTGTGAAGTACCTGACAGTCTAACCGTATTCATATGAAAAAAATCACATTGCATAGATTTAAACAGGAAGACATGCAATAACAAGACAAGTCACAGTATAGCAAAACCTTGTTTCTTTGGTGAAACAGAAGCAGATATAAAAGTTACAAAGATTTTAGACTTTCATTCACAAAAAACAGACATTCACATTATACACTATACAAGATAATATAAATAGAGAAAAGTATTATGTGCATTGTTTGGGGGTAGGGGTGGGGAATGAACCGGCCAACGCAGTGACGCATTGCCATGTTGAACGCACAAAGACTGGGTATCCATGGTGGAGCAGTCACTGCAATTTTTTAAGAGATGTTGCCTGGGACTGTAATCAATGTTCCCAATAAACCATGGCAAGGTCGCCTCATGGGCAGTTCTGCCTGGGACAAACTTGTACATGTTGGCTGGGTTTTCAATTCTTTTCCTTTCCTTTTCAACTTCTTGCATCATATCCCCACACTAACACAGAGGCATAAGCCTCCCAACTCTGTTTGTATTTGCAGTGTTATTTTGAAAGTTGTACATATGTATCCTAGGGAACTTACTTTATTTATCTTTTATTATTTATTTCTTTTCCTGTGTCCAAAGACGTGCAGGGAACTTTGCAGAAATAACCAGACACAATCCTTTATGTGGAGAAGTCCGTTCAAACATTACCTTCTACACTTACTATACACATCCAGGTCAGTTGTCGCGCTGACCAGGGTAAGAAATCATAATAGAAAACTCCTACGCACACACTGCACCAACTACAACCTAAAACCTCTTTGTGCACACAATTCTTCCTAGAAAGCCAAGATCCTGATTCTTCCATAAGTCACACAGTTCTCACCCATCTAACCACAAACAAATGATCCTGTTTAGCAGGAATTTTGTTCTCTGGGAAAATAGCAAAAGATGGTTCCAAAAGTGGAGCTCAGGGGCTAATACTGCACTGGCGAGCTCTTTTAATCTTCTTTGCATGGGTAAAATAACATCCAATAAATTAAATCAGTATGGCTTACTTCATTTATTTATGTACGCTTCACAGCTGCAGCATTCATACACAAACATTCATTACTTTATAAAAAGATTAAAAAATGGTTATATATACAAAATTATTTACTTTTTTGATTTTTGTTTGTTTTTTACAAAAAAAGATCCCCCAAACGCTAGGTCTATCTCCATTTTAGAATGCAGAGACCTGTAATATAGACCTTGTGGTTAATGTTGTGAAAGTCATTTTTTTTTTCATTTTTTTTCTTTTTTTTTTTCCTCTTTTTTCTTTCTTTCAGAAAAGGTGGCCCTGGTTGATAAAGTTAATGTATTAGCACTTGGATTTTTACAGGCCCTCCTTGTCATATACAAGTCCTCCATGCAGTCCTTTCTCATGAATGATGAGGCTGGAATGGAGAGCAGAAAAAAAGTTCCACATTGCAGTCCCTAGTTCATGCTATATCCCCACTTTATGTGCTCTAAATTTTGCATCACATGGACACACACTGTACCTTGGATGGTAACTGGCACAGTTTGCATTAAAAAGAAAAAGTCATGTCACTTGTGTGTTTATCTTCACCTTGTAATAGCAAATTTCAGTCAGTGAAGTTATTTCAACCATTTCCAGCCTAGGTAAACAACATAAAAACAATGTCACAAATGACTGAAGACCTCTGAGGCCATTCTAACCATAAATATGCCTGAACTTAGTGTGACTTTTCATTTTATATACAGGATTTTTAAAACAACACACAATTAAACAACATTAAAATCATCTTATTTACATTTTCATTGGTGCTAAAATTGAGCTGTTTAAATATTGCAGAAGGCTGGTATATGTCATAAAATGGTCCACACTGATGGCATATAGAAAACTAATAATCATTATAGGCTGGAAATGGTCTCTTTTTATCCCCATAAGCACTTCTCCTCTATATAATTTTTATTTTTTTATTTTTTTTGTTTTGTGATAAACACAATATTTTTGCAAAATGCATTGTGAATACCGGAGTCCATAGTTTCAAAACAATTTGATAATACTCCTATAAGTGATAGAAAAGGCACAGAAAGTTAGAACTTTGGCTGAAATGGTGGAAATCCCCATTCACCATTTAGCACTCAGCGCCTTGAGTCCTGCCACGTCCTGATCCAGCGATGGTAGTGTTTTGATGAATTTAATGATGTTCCCTTTCCTGATGAAGAATGTTTATAGTAGTATTTCTTAGAATAAGTCCTTTGGTATGTGGACGCTGCAATGAAAAGGAGGGAGAAAAAGAATATATTAATTAATTTGAAATGATTTCAGCATGAATGGACTGGCTATGCTTCACATTAATTTTCTATTATTCGTGATTAATTAGGGAGTTAACAAATGATTAACTGATACTAAGGCCATGTTACAGACAGGAGAAGCATCTCTTGAAAACAGTTAGACCACATCTGCAGAAGGCATTGTTAGCATTATTGAGAACCTATGAATTCAGAGACTTTGTAAGAATGTTGCTGCTTAATTGAAAAGAATCTTAATGGCTTTTCTAAAAACAGAAAAGTAATGTTTTTATTAGTTGTTGATTTTTCTACAGATAGTGTGAGCTGTACTGCTGTCATAATCTATAATATAAGGTTTGCACTTCTCTTAAAAATATACTAATTACTTTTCATTATTTATCATTACGGATGCTCATCTTTACATTAATGAATCTATTGTTTCTGAGGCAGCACTGATTCCTTTTCAGAGAACTTACGATTCATGCATGTAATTTTAGGCATATCCCATCTTCCATTCCCTTGGCACCGGATGGTTGGAATATGACGCTGGATGAAGCCATCTTTGCAGTGATATCTAATAAGTGAGTTGATCTCATAACGAGGTTTCATCTTTCCAAAGGTCTTTGCATTTTCCACAACAGGAGGCTGACCACAGGCAACTTAAAGGAAGACAAAACCCCAAACATCAGTTTGTAAATGCCTTTCTGAGGTAAATTCTGTCTATGGGGACGTGTCAAGAGATTTTAGCAAAAATCCCAAGAGACATGTCCAAATAAGGATAGGGAGATCAGTCTTTTCTGTAGTTCTCCAGTTGTAAACTGCAAAAACTGGTAAAACTGCAAAACACATGGTTAATATTTCCTTTTTGGTTTAAATTTGTGATATAAATTTGAACCAAAAAAGTTTTCATACTCACACAAAGAAAAGATTTTCACTGGAAAGCTGCAAAACCTGAAGAGCAGTGAAGTTATTACAAGCATTTAATAATAATAAAAAAAAAATAATAAAAAATCTCATTCTCAAAACTTCTCATGTCTTCCTCAACAGCAGACTTTTTAAAAGCACTTAAAACTCATGCACCCTTCAACACACAATGAACATGTTATCAAAATGCTGTAAATGATAACTGGGCAACAGTGGAGTGCACAAGAGATTTTGGTTTCTTCTTTACTTTCCCAGTCTAAAAAGACAGAGAACAACTAAAGTGTTAATATACATCCCCTGGCAACTCTCATGTTTGAGGGTTCATTGACCCAGGGAACTACTGTGTTCAGCAGCATCATGGAGCAGGCCCTCCTGGAAGACCCTCCTTAGCTTGGTCTAAGGCACATGGAAAATAAGGAAGTGATTGGTAACAGCCAGCATGGCTTCACTAAGGGTAGGTTGTGCCTCACAAATCTGATGGCGTTCTATGATGGGGTTACAGCAATGAAGGATAGGGGAAGAGCAACTGACATTATCTACCTGGACATGTGCAAAGCATCTGACACTGACCGCATGATATCCTTGTCCCTAAATTGGAGAGACATGGATTTGATGGATGGAGCATTCACTGGGTAAGGAATGGTTGCACTCAAACAGCTGTGGCAGACAGCTCAATAACCATGTGGAGATCAGGAAGGAGTGGTGAACCTCAGGGATTGGTGTTGGGACCATTGCTGTTTGACATCTTTGTCAGTGACATGGGCAGTAGGACCTAGTGCACCCTCAGCAAGTTTGCTGACAGCGAGCTGGGTGGTGTGGTGGACATGCTGGAGGGAAGGGATGCCATCCAGAGGGACCTGGATGGGCCTGAGAGGTGGGCCTATGCGAACCTCATGAAGTTCAACAAGGCCAAGTGCAAGGTCCTGCATATGGGTCAGGGCGATCCCAAGCCCAAATACAGGCTGAGCAGAGAATGGATTGAGACCAGCTCTGAGAAGAATAACCTGGGAATGTTTGTTGACAAGAAGCTCGACACAAGCCAGCAATGTGTGCTTGCAGCCTGGAAAGCGAACCGTACCCTGGGCTACACCAACAGCAGCATGAATCATCTGGGTGAAGGAGGGGATTGCCCTCCTCTGCTCTGCTCTTGTGAGACCCCACCTGGAGTCCTGCACTCAGCTCTGGGACCCCAGCAGAAGAAGGACAGGGGCCTGTAAGAGTGTCCTATATGATCAAAGAGCTGGAGCACCTCTCCTGTGAAGACAGGCTGAGGGAGTTGGGGTTGTTCAGCCTGGAGAAGAGAAGGCTCTGGGAAAACCTTACAATGGCCTGCCAGTGCCGAAAGGGGGCTATAGGAAATCTGGGGAGGGACTCTGTGTCAGGGGGTATAGTGAGAAGACAAGGAGTAATGATTTTAAACTAAAAGAGAATAGGTTTAGATTACCTATAAAGAAGAAATTCTTCACTCTGAGGTTGGTGAATCCCTGGTACAGGTTGCCCAGAGAAGCTGTGGATGCCTGATCCCTGGAGGTGTACAAGGCCAGGCTGGATGGGGCTTTGGGCAACCTCATCTGGTGAGAGGTGTCCCTGCTCATAGCAAGGGGGTTGGAACCAGATGATCTTTAAATTCCCTTCCAACCCAAGCTATTCTGTGATTGTATGTAAGCACCAGCTCTAACAGTGCATAAGCCCAATGTGCCTTTCAGATTCCTTCAGTCTGAACCTCCCCTGGTGCAGCTTTGTGCCATTCCTGTGCATTCTGTCACTGCTATGCACATCGTTCACAGTGGCACGCAGGTAAAGCAGGCCTGCCAAGTACGTAAATGCCTCTTTTGTTGAGATCTGCAAATGAGAAATTTGTCTGGTTTCAACTAGGAGTTTCTATTGTGTACCATTTTGACCTTGACTCAAGAGCAGATTAAGAAAAGTTTAATACGTGGATAGAGAAAAACAAGTTTGTGAGGCTAACTCAGCTCTAGGCTCACTGTATTGGTCACCAGAAATCACTTAGAATTTGTCCCTTTGTGTTTATAAAACTGGAATTATGCTATAGTTACTGCAAAGTTTGTACCTGTTCCTTTCTTGCAGGTATAGGTCAGGTGATAATTGCATGGAACATCATTCCACTGCCCATTCTCATGCCATATTATAACAACACAGTCTTCTCCAGCAGAAAAGAAACTGTCTGGCTGGTTTGGTCGCCAGTTCTCATATTGCTGCAGAAAAGAGAAGCACACCCATTATTCCCAGTGTTGGAATATATTTACATTTCATTTTACAGAACACAAAATATTACTGTTGATGATGAGCAACCTCAATTGTTTGGTTCAGGCAGTTAAGCACAAACTAAACAAAACTAGATTTACAATATCTTCCCACTCTATTAACAGACAAAAAGTATTTTGATGCAACATTTTACTTACTGTAGACTGGTATCAGGTGAGTAAAACAAGTTGACACAATTCAGTTCAAGGACTATCTCAACAAAAATGTGTTGGATCACACTCTACCTTACATAGGCTGAAAGCACAAAGCCAGGAAATGCAATGAATAAGCTACTACCCCTACTAGTCCATGTCTACTAAATGACAAACCACAGGCTGCGTTCTCAAATTCAAATTATTTATTCTTTGACTTCAATTAATGAAGCCATGCAATAGGATGACTTTCAGAATTTTGTGTGAAATAAGTAAAGGTGTCAGAAAGTGGCCCCAGATCACTGCAGATTGATATTGCCATTAAAGGTCTTAGGTGGCAGACTGAGAGTATAGAGCAGCTTGAGAAATGATGATCCAAATTCTGCCTTCTGCAGAGAAATTACCACCACAGACATCTGGATCACATACATATGAGTGAAAATGGAAACTGGCACGGTAGTTTTAGAAGTAAAAATCTGATTGTCAGTATGTAACAACAAGTTTCAAATGGCAGAAAAATAGCTTTAGCATTAAATATATATATATATATATATATATATACATATTTTTTTTTTTTTTTTCTTCCTGGCACTGCACCTGGAACTTCAACACTGACATGTTGATTTGGGCTGACTCTGCTTTTTAGGTTCAAAGCTGTCAATTTGCAGGTTTGCACTTAATTTAACCAAACAGCTCTGCACCTCCCAGCTCAGCACCTGCCCAAAGGTGTGTCCCTATCAAGAGGGACAGCAGGAAACCAGCAGGAAAACAAAGGGATTATCATACAGATAGATAATCTATCCAGCGTCTTTGATAGGGGACATATGCACTACTGTCCTTGAAGTTAGCAGTGGTGGGTTACTGTTTACTCCACTTCTTGTTTCATCTTGATCCCAACTGAAGCTCAGTAACTTGAGATTTCCTTAATGTTATGCAAAGAAAAGCTAGAGGAAATATGGGAAACTATTCTTAGCAATTTTCTTTGAGATTCCTGTTGTGTCACTCCAAGAATTTGATGGTGGCTAAAAATAGATATCTAAAAGAACAGGAATTCACATAAATGCCAGGCTTTAATTGGCAGATAGTTCCTTGTATGGTCAAAATGACAGAGTTCCTACAATGCTTACATCTTTCTGTCTAGAGTTGGCCCACATAAATGTCATAAAAGTTTAGCTTTCTATTTGCTTAGCTTTATGAAATAACCACTATTCATTGCCTGTGCGAAAACGTTTTAGTAATACAGTTTACATATTCTGTGCGAGTAGTATTTACCTTACAAGGAATCAAGCTATGAACAACAATAACAACAACAACAACAACAGCAAAAGAGTTAAATGCATATTTTCCTGTTATGTGTCCATCACAGGTTTTAATTATCCAAGCAATTTAACAATCATTATTTAAATAAATTTGTTCTGCACTGAATCTGTTACCTCTAGCAATTCATAAAACATCTTCCTACTTATGTGGGACCAGCTTAACTTCACCTCTATGCTTTAGACTCTCATAGTCCTAAACTGCAACACATTCTAACTTCTTTACTGATGTCCAGAATTCGAAAACTCACATCAACTGAGAAATGAAGAGTATGAGCTTTTGTAAGCACGGTAGTAAAATACCATATACATGTGTCAAATGGGATCTGTTGTGTGTGGGCCTCCTGCAACACCTGGTACAAAAAAATAACCAACAAAATTAGCTAAAGAAAATTCTGCATATACCTCATGATATCTCCTGGGCTGGTGAGGACAATGGGAGGTAAGGGATGTGCCCATGCACAGTGTGTATTATTGTAATTTAGAGTGCTCCCTTTTGCAAAAGGATATGTTGGAAGTGCTGCCTCGCCTCAGGTCTAGTGACTTGGCACAGCCGAGCTGGTGAAGGGTCTGGGAGTGTGCCGAGGCCATGTGAGATGCCTATTGCTGGCTAAGGCAGGGTGCACACACACACCAAAGGCTTAGGCTTACCCGTGTTATGGCCCCCCTCTACTTGCAGGAGGACACAATCACACCTCACATCTCACCACCAACCCTACTGAAAGGTACCATCTGCTCCTTTGAGAATATGCCAAGACATAGGGACACAAGAAAAAAGCTGTGAAAACAGCCAGGTTAATGGTAGAAAAGTTTGGTTAGTGATGCCCTGACAGCAAAGCCTCGCGGCTCTGTCTTGTGGAACTGCAGCTGCAGAGAGCTGCATGCTTCTGCAGGGGTCAGTGTGTGGGAACTGGGATACTTCATGGCAACTGGGGGCATGTGAGCTGAAGGTGCTCAGCAGCTTGCCAGCTCCCACCCGAGCCCAAAATTTGTCTGCTTTGTTGGCAGGGCTGCAGCATAATGGCAAGGGATTATATCTGGGCTGTGTGGTTTACTCAAGAATGTCTGATATCCTCCAGCATGACATGCTGTTACCTCATATCTAATATCATCATTGCATGAGTTTATTTTGGCTGAATACCTCTGATTTCATTTGGTTTCAGTGCCAGAATTGCTTAGCAGAGGAAGTTCCAGACTGCTGAATTGTTTCTTAGGTCCCCACCCAGCTCCTCTGTAGTTTTTCAGATCCTTATTTAGCCCCTGATAACATGATAATGATACAAAAAGATTCTCACAGTTTGAGTGGAATAAGTTGTTACAAAAATAAACGAATATTTTGCTTTCTTCTTACAGATGACATTTTTGCATGACCATGAGCTTGACTCTGTTTTCCACTTAAACTACTGTAAACCAGGGGTGCCTGCACTATGTCCAGTAAAACTACATCAGCAGAAACGTAATGGGAAAGAACCAAATCCCATGTTACATACTGCATTGTACTGTTTGTTTTCAGAGATATTCCTCACAATCTCTCATACAAAGTCTGTGAAATGTACAGACACCCCTCCCCTTGCAAAAAGAAGTATCCTAAACACTCAATTCATAAATCTCCTGTTGGAAAACACCACTCAAAATAATCTAAATAAGATGCCATACTTTAAGTGGCTACATCATTTAAGTTCTTTGTATATCAATGCAATTACTGTCTTGTAGAACAGCTATATTGTACAAAGAAAAAAAATAATAAAAGAAAACAAAGCCCAATATTTCAATTTCATTCCTTGGCAACATCTACCATTTGGGTTTGTTCATTTTTTAAGATCATGTCCAAAACAGATCAGCTATGTTCACAGAGGAGCCAAAGCCCACTTGTATCATTCCAGCCACCCTGCTACTACCTTGTCTTCAGGGAAACTGATGCTGTCTCAGCACACCAGCGAAGCCATGCTAAGCAGTGCTGTGTTGGAATTGATAAAGTCCAAGGCATCCTTTTACCAACAGTCATGCTTCAATCAGCACCATTAGCACTAGTTTTAGCTGTATCATTCATAAGGTATGATTTAGGGTCCTGAAAACCTAAAGAGATTCAAATGCTAAGTTCATACATGGAAGAAAGACCATGAGAAGAAGAAAGGCACTCAGCAGAAATAATTATATTGACCTAAATATTTTTACTGCCCTGGCTAATGTTAAAGCGCTTAAAATGAAAAGCACTTCCATACTATAGGACATGTAAGCTTATAGTGAGCTTCACAGAAGGTCTAGCCCTTTTCCTCCAGCTGTGAAGTATGTCTTGGCGGGGAGGCTGCAGGATGCTGACACTGCTGTGCCAGGCTCTTGGCAAAGCCCTCAGCATCCATGAAGGCAGGACACTTGCTTCATGTTATGAAAAAAAAACTGTGTTTTGGTGTGACCAGAAAACAGCAGGAACTGGCCTTGGCAACAACATTTTGATATCTGTACATGCATTTGGTCCTTTGGGAACCACACACTGTTATGTCTTGCCATCATTTCATGCCAAAAACAGGAGCTCCCACTGCACTCTTTTTGCCTTTCAGGAAATCTTTCTTGTACAGTCTTTTGGCGAAACTGAAACCCATACTAACACATTGGACTTAGTTGTTCTAGTTTCCTTTGATGAAGAGTACTGAAAACTTCCCCGTAGAAAGAGGGCAGAAGGTCCATGGGCTGGAGCCACAGTGAGGCAGGGGACCAGCTCCTCAGGCTTCCCACCTGGCAGCAGACAACACATGGCTGACTGTTTGGAAACTGATAGCCTGGGGAACAGTGGCTATGTATTTTCTTGCCTCATGGGAGGACCATGGATCTGATGATTACAAAAGTCCATGAAGATGTTTTTATAATAAAAGTTCAATTTATTTATTTATTTCCCCCCCCCCCCCCCCTTATATCAGAATGAATTAAATCACAGCCTTAATCTGCCAGTTAGGTGGCAGGATGACAGTCCACCAATTAAATCCAAGAAAACCAGGATTACAGCAATAGCTGTAAAGTGGCTGATTTTATTAGCTGGTCACTATTTTTGTCATTCAGATGGTTGGTAATTAAACTGAATGAGCAGAGCCTTCCTGTCACAAACAAGATCCTGCCTTGTGGGAGATTTGTTATTTAAATTTTCAGATAACCAGCCTTACTTGAGGGACTCATTTCCTTTTTAACAAGTAATCCATTCAGCTTTCAGATGTTTGCCCTGTCAAGGTGAATCCAGGAGTGAGTAGTATCTCAGCTTTGAGACATGCACTTAGACATTTCAGCAGTTCCTTTATCTCCAAAAGGCACACCAAGTGGCTGAGATCAATAGCATGGGCTTTGCATTCCAGAATAGTCAACAAACACCATGTTTAACCAAGCACAGCTACTGATGCAAACAAAATGTTACTGCTTGACCTCGTTATTGTGCAAAGGCTAATGATCTTTTCTACAAAACTAAAGCTAGGAAACAGTTTACTTGGAATACATGTC